GTGTAAGCACGCTGTTGAATCACAAGAAAAATGGAACACAGAAAGAAGAAGAGAAACATAATCTCTGAGACTAAAAACAACATATTTAATTCAAAATTATCTATTTTAGGCTAGGCCCATAATGCTGATGTTTACCCCAGTGTGTGGACAGTCCGTTCGGTATGTGACCTGCTTGACCTCACCAATGTTTCCTTTGAGAATCAACTTCTGGGTTCCAGATATACTACCTTCGTCTTATCCACATTTCCATGTTCATCAACCCACAACAAATTCCTAAAAAATAAATATAATAAAAAAAAAAACACACATAATGCGTTTTTGATGCATTTACAATGTTTTGATAGTCTTTTGAAATGGGCAGAAGTGTTATCTGTGCTCTGTATCCTCCAGACTTTCTGTTTTCATGTCTGTGTTAAACAAATGTTTTATTTAGTGAATTAAAGGATAGCTCACCCAAAAATGAAAATTCTGTTGTGATTTACTCACCCTCTTGTTGTTTTAAATCATCACTAAAGACTTTATTTTTTCTCTTTGCGCTTTATGATGCGCTTTATGTTAGGTTTATGTTGGTTGGAGTATTTATGTATTTTTTATATTTTTTGAACTGACTGTACAGCACTTTGGTCAGCAGTGGCTGTTTTAAACGTGCTTTATAAATAAAAGTGCCTTGCCTTCTAAATCAGTATAACTTTCAATGTTCAAACCAAGCTGAAAATTAGACCACAATTACACATCCTCTGTGCTATAAGCTCGCTAATTATTTTTAAACAGTAAAGAAATTTGGTTTGTCATGTGCTTCCAAGGAAAATACGGTTTCATTTTAATATTCTATTTTCAGAGGGAGTTCCTTACTTTTAGCAAAGGTCATCTTTTGGACTTCTTGTTCCAAGAGTGCACAGCCATTGTTGTGTCTATTTCAAACTAATATTCAGTCTATTATAAACTAAAAAAACACTTAAAGGGTTCGTTCACCCAAAACGATCATTTGCTCACCCTCACGTCAAGTCGTTCTGAACCCGTAAGACTTTCGTTCATCTTCGAAACACAAATGCACATCTCTTTAATGGAATCTGAGAGATGTCTGTCTCTCTACTGACTTTATTCATTTGAAACATTGATAAAGAGATAGTAAAACTAATATGAATTCAGCAGTTTATTCAAAATGTTCTGAAGACATTGCTCTATAAATCTCTAGCGTCTGTAACTGTCACTGATCAATGTTTTATTGTGAATAAAACCCTAAAATTAATCCGTTTATCATTTAAAGTCATCAAGTCTCTTTAGAAAGCTGTTAAAAGAGGGACAGAAAGTTCAGATTTTACCAAAAAGATTTTCATTTGTGTTTTGAAAATGAACAAAAGTAAATTATGACTTTCCCCCTAACACACATTTTAGTGCATAGGCTACCACAATGCCTGGTAGCAAATGGCTTATTAGGCAATTATTTTATTTTTTTAACTGAAGATATTGAGATAGTGATACTCACCATTTCTGACCATGTTGGTGTGCACAAGGCTCCAGGTGGCTCGCTAAGATTATAGGAAACCGAGTGGTTCTTCAAAATCTCAAAACAGCACTTCAAACTTGAACCACATCCTTTCATTGAGCAATTCAAGAGAATGGAAATAAAGCCTGTTCATTGAGCAAAGGAAAACTGATAATGTCGACCATCAATGTTACAAACAATTTAAAAAATGAGAACAGATTTGTCAGAACATAAGATTGTTTTTAAAATGTGCATTAATTATTGCTATTTTCATATTTCTGTGACAAAACTCAGAATACTTTTAGATTTAGAGAAACGGTTGACTGAATATTTTTATAGTCCTATGTGACAAATTTATGATTAATCTATTTAAAATATTAGTTTAGCTAGGCTATATTAATAGTAAACATCAAACTAAAAACATTTTCAAAACTGTTTTTTTATGTGAGAAATATCCTCATTGACGTAAGCAAGTAGGCACAATTAGGAAGTAGTTGGGTTTCTTTTTAAGAATCACACATTGGCTAAATCGATTCATTCTAAGTCTCCACTGTGTTAAATCTTTTTTTTTTTTATGTTTAATACGTTGTTCTAAGTTTATATATTTTGATTTAAAAATATCGGCGTAATAAATCTCAAACTGCTGAATATAAACTGTTTAATTATCTGCCCTGAAGCAAATTCATTTTTGGTTTAACTTTAGGCCTACTTAAAAAATAAAAGATAAAAAAAAAACCAAACCAAATTACCGATTGTTTTGCGATTAGTCTACATATAGCTTAGCCATGGTATTATTGTAATCAATCCAACCACATAGCTGGCTAGTCTAGGCTACTCTTACAGCCATGGTTAGGCTACTTTTCGTAAGGGCGGATTTACTCGGATGTATAAATCAAAAGCAGTGTTTGTGCATTTGGCCAGCCATTGAGCTTTTTAACTGGCATCAAGAATTAATCTAGAAGAATTAAGGGAGTTTAAGTAGCCTATTTAAATATTCAAAATCGAATCCACCCCCAAAAGCGCTGCTTACCGCACGGTGTTGTGCCTAATTTCGACCCCCTGCCAAATTATTACCCCCCTCGTTGTAATCAGTAGCCTGATTGCCTAAACCCAACCCCTCCAGTGATGATAAACTTATTAGCGAGCACTTGTGCATGCAAAAAGAGGTTAATGTAGGCTATAGTGATCCCTTACAAACTGAAAGTGCAAAAAGGTTCTATACTATTATGTATTGTATACAAGAGTAATTTTATATGATTATAGTTCCAAAATTAGCACGCAGGCTAAAGGACGCAGTCAGGTGCTCCAGATGCAAACAAAGATGCAATGACCATAACAGCTCGTGTTCCCATATCGAAACCATATCTAGCATATGTGATTAGTGCATTAGTGCATCCAAGTCACTTTGATCAAATTTAATTTTTATATTACTATCTAATTGGAAAGCAAATTCTTAGACAAAATAGCCTAATCACTTTTAGAAAGATTTAGAAGATGAAAAATAAAGACGCGTGCAATTAACTTAAATGAATACGATTAAGTTTCTAACAAAATATAGAATCTTAAAGTAGCCTATACTTACAGGTTATCGCAAAATCCTTTGGCTTCATGGTTTGTGATTGTCGTAGAATGATTTATAAGATCCGAACACGGGGACAGGGATAACAACAAGTTGCTACTTCCAGTGCAGCGAGAAAAATAGCCTACTTCCTACTCCAACTTGCAGATATACCCTCATAGGCTATCTGAAGGATGTCATCATGTCTCATGCACAAGCATTCTGCAGCGGTCAGCCCGTTCCGTCTGTTTGCTGCTCCACTGTTATCACGGATGCCCCCCTTAAGAAAAATGTGGATTTATTTTTAAATTATGTTTTATTAACAAAGTTCGGGAGAAGCACGTTCAGATAATTAACACAGGTGGAGAGCACTCAGCAATCATGATTAAATGATGTTTCACAAGTTCGGGAGAAACACGTTCAGATAATTAACACGGGTGGAGAGCAATCATGATTAAAGCACGTATATAGACTCAGTAGTCTCACCTCAAATACGCACGCCAAATACGCAGCATAGGCTACTTTATTCCCTTTAAATTGTATGTAAGTGTGAACTCGTGGAATTGTAACATTTAGCCTATGACGCATCAGCCATTGTGTTATTAGCCTATAGGAAATAAATAAGCATTTGCAAGTTGTTATAGATCAAAAGGTCAAAACATGAACGTGTCCACTAACAAATAGACAGCCAAAATTAGTCTACATAGATAACGGAACGAATACGATATGTTTTCTGAAACGTAAATGAGTCAGTCGCTTTTCTGCGCAGCGTGATTATCACAACGTGGTCTGACAAAATCGTCATATAGGCCTAGCTATATCATTTTAGGCATCAAGTTTAAGACAATGGATGTGATGTGATTTTGGCTAAATTTACATAAATTATAACTTTATACATGAGTGATAACTCTATCATTTATAAATAAGTGGAAGTGTGAAGTGACAGAAGGTTTTGCTGATCAATAGGCCTACCATGTAAAAAATGATCGTGATTTTAACATTAGAAGACTGTAAAAATGCAGTGAAAAACTGTTATTTGGTTAACAGAACCTTTAAATAACTATGATATCTATGATATATCTATCTATGATAGATCTAATGGTAAATTTCATGTAATTTTACTGTAAAATGCCGTTATAGCCTATTACTGTGTCACGCGTGACACTTTGCATTTGACTACAACGGTCATGGTTCATGGTTTAAACATATATACATGTGTGGCAGAATGGGATACGGACACAGACAATTAACAGGGCTTAGGCCCAGGCAGTTTGCAGACTACGCCACGATGGGACTTACACCCAAAGAATTAAGTTCAATCAGGCACTCAAGTTCGTTGACAGATAGCCAGAGACAGTGGTTCAGTACAAAAATAGTATTTTTATTTTCCTTTCACTTTTAAACTCAATGAACACACTCAAGACAGAAGGCAATAGAGCGGAGTCTTACCAGTGGGAAGCTAGTGACTAAAGCAAGGAGCGTCCATGAAAACACCCCATTCACACGTGTCAAAATTTCACTCACACACACCATAAGAGAAATGACCACACTTGGTGAACACACAGCCACAGCACACCACGGGACCCGCCACCACAAGGGGCACTGCTCCCACTGGCAGTTCTCAGCACCTGGACAATGAACAGACACGTGGAAGTTAAACAAAATTACGCACACAAACTACATAAACATTGTCTAATAAGTCACCTGTTCTGAAGTCCAAGGTTGTACTAGCTAACAATGTGAACAGGGACTCAATTAAAATAAACAATTAAACATGGACAAACCACAAAAGAAAAATCACACTTAGGCCAATCCTCTTGGAGATCAACAGCAAGAAAAGGCCTCCATACAAGAGTAAGAAATAAAATAAATAAAAACATTAAAGTGATGTCAGTCCATCAACCACTCAAGCACTGATTTCAAAACAGAGACAGGAAGGAAGATCAAACAATGTTAAACAGGCAACGATGTAACACGCTAGCCAGCCACCTGTTAACTTGAGATAATAATAATTGAGTTCAATACTCCTTTGCCGAGTGTGAATAAGGCAGCCGGGTACGACGTAACTTTAAATCCATGAACATGTAATGTGAAGAGTATAAGCAAAGCAGCAGATGTTCAGTATCGATGAAGCAAACTTGCGGCCGCACCCCCGGTTAAACAGCACTCCCTAAAATGCACAGGATGTCAATTTACAAATAGTCCCCACATTAACCCTTAAACTATTACTCCGTATAGCAACATACCTATGATTTTCACAAGCCCTGAGCTCTGTTTGCCGACCACAGGGCGCACGCTCAGCTGGTGAAAGGGCTGCTGCTGCACCAGGGATCCTATAGCACAAAACATTCCCTATAAGCCCAAGCCATAAAGTTAACGAGTTAAAAGAGAAGAGAAATGAAGCCAACCATACTCGCGGCACTTCGGTAGACCGATAACCAGGCAGACATCAGGTCGCTGGGCAGGTAAACAGGACGCGTGCCGGTAACACCATTTGTCAAAATAAAAGTCCCGGTTTATAAAAGAGGTGTAGCCCTCGCGATTGGCTCAAAATTAACTGCCCAGAACTATTCACAGCTGCAGCAAATTAAGTCACTTAGGGAGACATGAGCCAGACAACAGCATCATCATGCTACAATCTGCCCCGTTTTTTTTTAATCGGCGCCCGACGATTACCCCAAGACTCTCACCTTCACTGTAGGACGCTAATAGATGAACAGAGAGACCCTTGGTACAAGTCCTCTTGCCATGACGGCTACTCTAGAAACACGAGACACTTGCTACACGTTCTCTGCCATTACGGCCACACAACACGAAACACGAGAGATACTTGGTACAAGTCCTCTTGCCATGACGGCTACTCTAGAAACACGAGACACTTGCTACAAGTTCTCTGTCATTACGGCCACACAACACAAAACACGAGAGGTACTTGGTACAAGTCCTCTTGCCATGACGGCTACTCTAAAAACACGAGACACTTGCTACAAGTTCTCTGCCATTACGGCCACACAACAAGAAACACGAGAGATACTTGGTACAAGTCCTCTTGCCATGACGGCCACTCTAAAAACACGAGACACTCGTTAAAAGTTCTCTGCTTTTACAGCTACTCAACGAGAACGAGTGATACGCACGTTCTCGGACATGACGGCTAAAACAGGAGAAACAAGTGATACACGAGTTCTCAGACATAACGGCTAAAACGTGAGTAAGGCACTGGTTACAGGTCCCCTACCTTTACGGCTACTCAATGAAAAAGACAAAAGCAGGGCCAGGAGCCAGGGTAGGGGCATGACCTGGGGTCTGACGTAGGCGCTCATTATCAGCTACCATCTAAGCCATCAAGTCCCTCAACTCCTGTAACTCACTCCCCTCGGCCACCCCGTTCCATATTTTGGCAATGCACAATCCAATTGGCAAAAAACAAAAACCAATCCCCACCTTACCTGCCCCGTTATCGGTCCACCAACGAACAGCTGCTGCTTTGCTTGTAAAAGAAAAAGAAAAAAAACACAAAAAAACGAAAAACAAAATTTGAACCAGTCTCTGGCTTTACCCATCAACCCTGCCGACTATACGCCAAATGTGGCAGAATGGGATACGGACACAGACAATTAACAGGGCTTAGGCCCAGGCAGTTTGCAGACTACGCCACGATGGGACTTACACCCAAAGAATTAAGTTCAATCAGGCACTCAAGTTCGTTGACAGATAGCCAGAGACAGTGGTTCAGTACAAAAATAGTATTTTTATTTTCCTTTCACTTTTAAACTCAATGAACACACTCAAGACAGAAGGCAATAGAGCGGAGTCTTACCAGTGGGAAGCTAGTGACTAAAGCAAGGAGCGTCCATGAAAACACCCCATTCACACGTGTCAAAATTTCACTCACACACACCATAAGAGAAATGACCACACTTGGTGAACACACAGCCACAGCACACCACGGGACCCGCCACCACAAGGGGCACTGCTCCCACTGGCAGTTCTCAGGACCTGGACAATGAACAGACACGTGGAAGTTAAACAAAATTACGCACACAAACTACATAAACATTGTCTAATAAGTCACCTGTTCTGAAGTCCAAGGTTGTACTAGCTAACAATGTGAACAGGGACTCAATTAAAATAAACAATTAAACATGGACAAACCACAAAAGAAAAATCACACTTAGGCCAATCCTCTTGGAGATCAACAGCAAGAAAAGGCCTCCATACAAGAGTAAGAAATAAAATAAATAAAAACATTAAAGTGATGTCAGTCCATCAACCACTCAAGCACTGATTTCAAAACAGAGACAGGAAGGAAGATCAAACAATGTTAAACAGGCAACGATGTAACACGCTAGCCAGCCACCTGTTAACTTGAGATAATAATAATTGAGTTCAATACTCCTTTGCCGAGTGTGAATAAGGCAGCCGGGTACGACGTAACTTTAAATCCATGAACATGTAATGTGAAGAGTATAAGCAAAGCAGCAGATGTTCAGTATCGATGAAGCAAACTTGCGGCCGCACCCCCGGTTAAACAGCACTCCCTAAAATGCACAGGATGTCAATTTACAAATAGTCCCCACATTAACCCTTAAACTATTACTCCGTATAGCAACATACCTATGATTTTCACAAGCCCTGAGCTCTGTTTGCCGACCACAGGGCGCACGCTCAGCTGGTGAAAGGGCTGCTGCTGCACCAGGGATCCTATAGCACAAAACATTCCCTATAAGCCCAAGCCATAAAGTTAACGAGTTAAAAGAGAAGAGAAATGAAGCCAACCATACTCGCGGCACTTCGGTAGACCGATAACCAGGCAGACATCAGGTCGCTGGGCAGGTAAACAGGACGCGTGCCGGTAACACCATTTGTCAAAATAAAAGTCCCGGTTTATAAAAGAGGTGTAGCCCTCGCGATTGGCTCAAAATTAACTGCCCAGAACTATTCACAGCTGCAGCAAATTAAGTCACTTAGGGAGACATGAGCCAGACAACAGCATCATCATGCTACACATGGTTGAAACCTGAAACTGTGAGTTGTGTCTTTGTAGTTGCATGCATCAGGGGCATAGCCAGTATTGGGCCAAGGCAACACTAGGCCCGCCCACATTAATCACTGGCCCGCCCAGGCAAGTTTGTCAAAAATCTAAGCCAGGGTCAAAACACAGGCAGAGGATACAA